CTTGCTTGCTTGTTTTAAGGAGCTGAATGATTCGGCCTTGGATCTAAATCACTTCTTGCCAGAACTGGCTAACTACCAAGCTAAAGTCATAAATAAAAATGAATTCCCAACAATAGTAGTTTTATAGCAAAAAAAATCCAGATCTCAGCAGAACGATATAGACCCCCTCAGGAAAGAGGGAGTACCAGGTTCAGAGAATCTGAAATATTGCATTCAGATTGCAGTGACATGAATGACAGTAAAAACAAAGAGGTACACCCCTAAAATGATGGATTATTCTTGAGCTTTCTGGATAAGGATACATACTTAGTGTAAAAAAAATAGAAAGAAAGGCTATTAATATAAATAAAAGACTTCATACATCACAGTACTGACCTGACAGTCATAACTCAGGGAAACTAACATCTGGAAGTATTAGCACTTAGATAAACAGCAAATCTATACAGAAATTCAAAAAAATAAAAAAGATACAGTGCCACAAAGTCTTGAAATTAACATTAAAATATGAAAACTTGGTGAGAATTAAAAATCCTTAATATTACAACTCCCCCCTCTTCTCCCCCCCACCCCGCCCCGAAGATATAAACCTGTATTGGAAGTACCAGTCCAATAAATCACCAAAAATATCTAAACCTACAAGAAGATTGGGCAGCAGTCCAATGTATTCAGAGAAAAGGTATTTTCCTGCCCTCCCCCACTGAATAATCTAGCTGGGCAAATCTACATGAGATGCTTTACTGTGCAGTAGACTAATCTACTGTGCAGCAAGGCATCACCATCTACACATGTACAGCATTTACTGTGCTGTAAATTAGTCTACTGCATGGTTGGCTACTACCTGTAGACACACTTGCTTCCTTGTTTTAAGAAGCTGAATGATGCAGCCTTGGATCAAAGTCACCTCTTGCCAAAAATGGCTAACTAGCAAGCTAAAGTAGTAAATAAAAATGAGTTCCCAGCAGTAGTAGTTTATAGCAAAAAAATCCAGATCATGTGCGACTGTGCAGTCACTATTGTGCGGTAGCTGCTATGCAGTAGTGCATGTGTAGACAGCTGACTGGGAGCAAATTGCTCCTGGTCAACCCAGGCATCATGGGGCAGGGGAACTATCCCCTCCTTTGGACAGCTGTTTCCCCTGGAAAGGAGCTAAACAAAGTAAAAGAACACAGGGCTAAAGAGATCACCTACCACCTTTTATAGGCAACATTACACCTGCATGGGAAGCCTGCTCACAGTGAGGCAACATCACAAGCCTTTGAAAACAATGGAAGTAGAACAAGATCATTACACCCAGGAGAACAGAAAATTTACCTGCCATAGCCTCTTTCTATCACAATTCAGGAACCCACTGTCCTCATCTGATATTCCACAGTTAAGAAATAATCTACCATTTCTCATGGTTCATTAATCTTGTCTTACTATACCAGAGAAAAGTAAACCATCAAGGCACTTTGAGAAATCTGTTCATGGCAAACCTAACTTACAAAAAGTTGGTACAAAGCATGCAGACAAATTGTTGATTACTACAGAACAAGCTCTCCCATACTGGACAGACAGAACATGGGACTGCCCGGTTATAATAAAATATCATATCCAATATAAATGCTTAAAAAAAATCAGTTATTCAACTCTGAAGCCTACCCACACTTTTACTCTTGAAGATTTAGGTGCAACAGATCATGGATAACACCACCACACTGGGCACACTAATTGAAAATGTGTCTCTGGACCACGATCCAAAAACAATAACTCATACCTATATCTCCAAGTTTATCACATGGGAAGAGAACATCATTTACCTGTATTATAAGAAAAGAAACTGAGCCATGGGGGAAGGGAACTGACTTCCTAAATTCCCTCAGTAGCTCAGGGACAGTAAGAGATTGAATCTAAACCTCAGTAAGATGCTACTTCCTGTCCATAAGATAAGGGTGGGCAAAGTCCAGCCCACAGGCCAGATCCAGCCAGCAGTAGACTCCATTTCCCAGCAGCCCCTGCCCGCGTGGCTAGGGCCAGTTTCCATGGAGACCCCAGCAGCAGCCATGCTGTGATAGCTTAGGGCTGGGGTTTCCATAGAGACCAGACCCAGCAGCACTAGCAGTCAGTAGCAGTGCCATCCTCTTCCTGGTGGGGGGCTTGAGGGGGTGCTGTGCCGTGTGCAGGAGTGGGGTGCGTTCAGCTGCCTCTACCTGTGCAAGGTGGGCAGTGGTTGTGGTGGTGCTGCTGGGAGGGGTGGCTATGGTGGGCTACAAGGAATTTTGGGGTGGTTATAGCCCCCCCCCCACAAGCTCCCCTAGTGCCAGACATGCTGGCAGGGCACACAGCAGGGAAGGGAGCTGCTCCAGAGCCCACTGGGGATTTTGCAGCAGTGACAGCATGATCCAGAGCCAGGGCAGAGCTGTGATCTGCAGCCTGCGTGCTCTGGGCAGGGGCATGCAGACAGTGGATCACAGTTCTGCCCTGGCTCCAGACCATATTGTCACTGATGCAAGAAGCCAGGGCAGTGCCGCGATCCTCTGCCTGCACACCCCTGCCCAGGGCAAGCAGGCTGCAGATTGTGGTTCTGCCCTGGCTGTGGACAACACTGTCACCACCTCAAAATGCCACCCGAACTCTGGAGCAGCTCTGTGCCCTGCCGCATGCCTTGCCAGCACTGCTGGGGCATGGAAACCCTGGTCTCATGCGATCACAGTGTGGCTGCTGCTGGGGTCTCCATGGAAACAGGCCCCAGCCACATCAGCAGGGGCTGCTGGGAAATGAAGTCCAGCCATCAGCTGGATCCACCATTTTGCCCACCCTTGCCATAAGGCCACTTGACCAAGAAGTGGACTAGATGGAAGTCTGTCACAACCTTACTTCCATGAAAGAATAATCCAGAATACGGCCCAACCATACCTTGATGCACTGGGGCTGTCAGGAGAAAAAACACTTCTCAAACATCATACACAGATAAGTAGCTTCCCCTGCCTTCCACCGACCCCTTCCTCTTCCCCCATAGAATAAGTATCAGGGCTTCACTTTTGTGCTCTGAGCTTTTATGTGAAACAGCTACTCCATTTTTTGTCATTGTTTAAAGAATTTTTTTTCCATTTGCTTTAAGAACAAAGCCACTTTCTCTTTTCATTCAGGTTGGCATGGGAGTGTGGTGATGGAGGCATCAGTACTTTGTAAGCCACTTCGGCATTTGATATTTCAGACATGCTGTGAATTTCCTGTTGTCTTTACTCCACAACTCCCCCCCTGCCCCCAAAAAACCCTCATGATCTAATTGATACCAACTCTGTGAATAGAAAAGGAACTAAGTGCATTCTCCTACATTTTCATTGTGACATCTGCAACTTCACTTACAGTAAGTGCATCATGTTACATTGAAAATGCCTATAAGGGCTTTAAGAGTGAGACAGAGTAACACATTTTAAATTAACCATCTGGCAGGAATGTCATTAACCCTGCCCCAAAAAGCCTTTTTAAAAGGCAAAGGATATCAAAAGATCTGCCTCTAATGTACTGCTCAGCAAAAGAGCTTTCAATGTTAAGTGTACTTCTACAATCTGAAACTTCAGGGAAGAGCTGAAAGTTTGCTGGTCCCAAACACACCTAATCAGTTATATTGATGCAACTCCTAATTACAGTCAACAGGGATTGTATCCATGTAACCAAAATTAAGTCTTGGAGCCACATGTTTACATGGGCTTGTACTCTTCAGGTGTTGACAAGTAGCTTGCCCTTCTGAATTAGTGCCCAGATTAGAAGAAAGCTGCAGCAGACCAAATCTTCAGGGGGGAGCAAGAAATAATTGGATTTAATCCTATTCTGGTCAAATACAAATCTTATATCCAGGGCCAAATTTGCCTCCCCATCATATCAGTGTAGATGGTATTACTCCAAGGTCACTATGCTGTACTCTTGCTTCCACACTTAGATGAAGAATCCGTTTTGCAAAGTCTAGGAGACCCACAAAAAAACCCAAACAGTAAAATGGGTAGTTGTGTCTGCAGCTCCAGAAATAATGAAATCAAGGTGTTCAAAAAGTATATAAACCACCAAATAAAGATGCTTTCTTTATCCACAGACACCTCAGTTAGTTAGCCCCCATTTGTTCAAATGCTGGATTATCTGAAATTTTGGCTTCCAAATAAAAACAAAGCCACTCAGTTATTTTCAGTTGCCTCCCTTCAACAAATAATGGGAGTCTGGTTTCCACAGAATCAGCTATTCCCCCTTCCTTCCCCATTCCCGGATGCAATACAAATACATGCATTAATTACCTTGGTCATTCAATGCAGAGAGTTTAAGTTTAATACAATACCACTGGGGCAGCACAGGGCACCTGCAAATGGACCAGATGTTGCTAGTTCACCATGATTACTGTGCAACATATTTGTATGTCGTTCTCATTTATTCCTCAGCAGTTGGAAAGAACATCTGGTGCTGGGAATTCATCAGCCATACTTCATCAACACACTTTCTAACACAATGTCACAGGAACAACTGTGAATGCTGATAGCTCCCCTTGATTTAAAAAAAAAAGAACAATCCTCAAAGTAGAGATTTAGAAAATGACGATGACAAAAAAATAACCAATAAGACATCCTACTTTCTTGAGAGAAGGAGGTGAGAAAGATTCTTGCAGAGGGGTGGAAAAAGAGGGAGGGAGGGTAAGATTGTAAGCCAGTTGCACATAACCACTAATTCAGTAACACCTCTAACCAGTCAAAAGAACCAAGAAGAAAAAATGGTGTTCTACCCTGCAATCAAAGCTCTCCAAACAGGAAGAGAGAAACATATATATTTAAGCCAACCCCGGGCAGTACTCTCACTCTGGTCTTTGAGGAATAAGTGTTGCATCAGATTTTACAAGGGAATGATTTGCTTGAGAAAAGCCATTTCACTGCATAACAAGGGCTGGAATCAGTTATCTTGTGCAATTCTGTTTACTTACAAGAATGTGCATGTGGTCCTGAATGCAGGATGAATCAAATAACCAGCAAGTTTCCTACCTTTATGCAGCACCTGCCCCAAGAGTCAACTTTAAAGGCTTCTCCCCAGGCCACACACAAGTGCTGTTTTAGGCTTTGTTGAAGCTTTCTTCTTCCTTGGTTCCTTCTGTGCCTCTGAGCTCTCTCCTTCATCCACCCACACACGATCCTTCCCAGACACCTAGCTAAAACTCCAAGAGCGTTTGAATTCCTGAGCAGCCTTGCATTTGTTTTTGTTTCAATTAGGAAATACACTGAACTAAAATAAAGGATAGTGGTTAAACCTACTACCTTCAACAAGGTTTAGTCCAATTTATAGACACCCTCCTCAACTTTACCTTTAGTTACTGTCCTTATGGCATCCCAAACAGTAGCATCTCATATAAGCCATTCAGATAGACTTGTAATTTGACAAACACACAACAGCAACAGCTGACACAATCTGAACTCTTTACATCATTACAAGGTTCTTCCAGCAGGACAGTTTCAATTCACAGGTTCCAATTTCCCTGCCATCCAAATGTCTTTAGTCTCTTGTTCCTGGCTCAGGTTTCAATCAGGAGGGTCATCTTTCACCAGAACCTTTAGAAGCATCCCTGGTTTGTGAAGGAATTGCTGGCTGAGGTGGACATCATCCATTTGGTTTCAAAAGGGGAAATCAGTCCTAAGACAGTTATTTCTTAGCTGCCAGAGATGTCACACACATCAGCACATTTTTGGTGATAGTCACACAAAAGTCTTGTCTCTGAGGCCTCCTTAAATAGTCCTTTATAGCTGGGGGTGGTAATTGTTCTTCTTGCATGTGTGCATTGGTCCATGAGGTGTTTAGCTGCCAGAGATGTCACACACATCACCACATTTTTGGTGATAGTCACACAAAAGTCTTGTCTCTGAGGCCTCCTTAAATAGTCCTTTATAGCTGGGGGTGGTAATTGTTCTTCTTGCATGTGCGCATTGGTCCATGAGGTGTTTAGCTGATTCCAACTACCTGGAGCACAAGGAGGGGACAGGTCAATTATGTTAGCAGCAGTCCCACATTCACATAATGTGGAGTTAAGGATAATCCAAGAAAAGAGGTAAACCTTCAATCAGCCAGTACCCATGTGTAGCCTGTTTGAACACACTTTTCTTTGCAGGGCAGATTGCATTTAGCTAGTTTAGAATTGATGAGTGAGGATGTTCCTCTCTCAATATTCTCCTTGCCTTCTGCAGATGCACCAAGATCACTCCATTGTTACATATGTAAGGAAGACATTCTGTGTTCTGAGAAAAAATAGGTGGTCAGGTTTGAGGAGCTGGGTGTCAGGAGGAAGTTTGTTGGCTTGTTGTGAAGAAGAGGCCAGATATGTGATACCATATTAAGTACTACCTCTACAACACCCAGCAACTCTGGCTTTAGTCTTGGGACCCAGCTGTTCTGTGCATACCACTTCACTTGCTGGCTTGGGTACTGCGTAGGGTCTCCTCCAAGATTTATCCAACTGATGGCTCCTGCCATACTTCCTACTAGGGCAATGAAGTTTCTACATATGACCTCACATCTTACAGCCTTCTCATTTTAGCAGAGGTTATCCTCAAATTTCCTCTAGAAAAGGGCTGAGCTTTGTCCATATGGATTTCAGGATTTCTACCTAGGTCATATCCCTTTGTTTTTCTTCAGGAACTCCATGCAAGATGAATGTCAAGACCCTTAGCTCATGCCCCATTTGAAGAGTGTTTACCATTGTCCTATAAAACATGGAAAGGAAGGGAATTTTTGGCTCCAGGCTCTGCAGCTGTTCTACAAAGGAGAGCCAGCCGACTCTCCAGAGTCCTATTGAACTTGTTCACCATTCAGTCAGATTGTGGGTCAGTGGGAATGGTATGTGTTTTGTGAATCCCTAGAATCTCATAAATTGGATTAAATGCTTTTAATCCATTTTTTCCCCTTGTTCTGTATGCAACTCAGTCAGGCCTTCAAAAATCAGGTAAAGAATTCACTCTATAGGGCCTCTTTCCATCCCAGCCTTCTTTTATCTTCTTCAGTAAGCTTAAAGCTATTTTGTAAAGTTATGCATGGTAACAAGCCAATAATGACTTCTAGTCTATGATTCAAGCAAACACATAAGAACACCCATAGCAGTATGCCCTGTTATTGCTCCTTTAAGATTACTGAAGAGGGGATAGAAAAGAAACCTTCTTGCCTTAGAGAGAGCCTTCTCTGCAACACAAGTACCACATTTCTTGAAACAAGTTTCTACATGCTATCTGCTTTTTATCTGAAAGAAACTCTCCTGCAACTGTTCACATTTATCAACCAACTTTTTAATGGATTGGAGAGAGAGAGCCAATACCTGTACCACTATTCCCTGATAATCCTGTTTCATATATAACATTTTATATTTAAATAGTATGCCTATATGTACTGGTTTGGCTAGGACAGTCCCAGATTTAGTAGGGAAGAGGAAGAAGAAGGAGAAGGAGTGATGGGGGTGGGAGGGAGGAGGGAGGTACAGGAAAGGGAGAAAATAGGAAGGAATCTGGTAGGGAGTTGGGGGGGGTGGCATATAGAGGAGGCCTAACGAAGGCAAGAGGAGGTTGCCCAGGTTCAGCCTCTCATTGACATAATGGTCAAGCAACTGCACAAGCCATGGCACATGCACATACTGATACAACAGCTGTATACACACATACCTAGATAGATACATGTGTACGCGCACACACACACACTTCCCATGGAATAAGTTACCTTTTTCCCTGCTCGACAGCAGCCTCCACCTCAGCCCTCCTCCTCCTGCTCTCTTGCCCAGCAGAGCCCCAGCCACCTGTTTCCTGGCCTTGCTCATGCCATTTGCCCATAGGCAGTCTCTGCTTCCCCCACCCCGCTGGCGGGCAGGGAGGTGGAGTGACGTGGTGGGGGGAGGGGGGAGTATTCCCAGTTTTCTTTAAAACAGCATGGTCACCCTATCTTTAAATTCCAAACTCTTTCCACTGTAACCAGAAAGCTTTTCAGTCCAGATTTCCCAAATGATTTTATACTCCTACTCCATTGCAATTTTAGGGTTCTCTCTTTGGGAAGTCATAAGCAGCTCTGGAATTTATTTCCACAATCTCACATCCTCTCTTCCAATTAAACCAAGAGTTTGTGCACTTCTACAAATTGTGGGGAGAGAAGAGACTGCTTATTTCAGAGCACACATCTCCTTGAACAACCAAGTCCTTGCCTTTCTGTTTAGAAGCAATATTTGCCTTTAAGGTTCTCTACACAAGGCACCACTATTACCATGCTTGCTTCCACATCTGTATTTGACTGAAACAGTTCCTTCTACCACCTGGCCACTTGTGCCTTAGATTTTCTGAATCTGAATCCAGAGTCAGTCCAGAAATGTCAGTCACTCCCAAACAAACACTTCCTCCTGATTAAAGAAACCTACAGAGCCTTTGCATCACAAACCATTTCTCAGAGTATCTTTGAAGTAGTGCATATTGTCTCTCTCTCTCAAAAAACAAACAACAAAACCCTTAAATTTTGCTGTAATAAAGCCTCGTCATCTCCAGTCCTTCCCTTAAAGAAATAGGAGTATTTGCATCCAGTATAGAAAAAGATAAACATGGCTAAGTCAAGGTAAAAACAGCTACAAAGGCTCTTTGCAACTAATTCTCTTCCTCCCAAACCCATGCAGTGATTTTTCAAGACTGGCAACCTCTACCTCTATTCCAGAAGTTTTGAGTCCTAAAAAATTCTATACATCTTTGAATGTTTGCAGAGATGAGACCAGTCCACTCTCCAATCTCCAATTTCCTCCGAGAAAATTTCCTTGATGAGTGCATGCCCAAGGCTGATCATCTTTAAGTCACATTTCCATGTGTTCCATTTCAGATCATGAACCTTCAGCTGATGACAAAACCATTTGCAAAGTTTGGAGCATTTTTCTCGTGCTATATTTTTACTTTGTATTTATTTATTTTATTTTTCTCGTGCTATATGCCTTCCTAATACAGGCCACTAAGGAAGAGTGAGGCTTTTTCCCTGTTAGTGAAGATGATGCGAGGTGGCTATTTAATGACTTGGCATCACCCAATAATATCTATTTTGTGTTGGTCCAACCAGTACAAATTCTGTTGGACTGGTAGAATACCCCATTCCCAAGTAGAAAGGATGGCCCATTAGCTGTTACTCAGTTAAGTCCACAACACTGCACTGGAACAATTGCAGTATAAACTCTAGAAGCTGTCCTTTGCACCCTTCCCTTTGTTTTTCTCTACACCAGCTTTTATCAGATCCACCTTTCTCTGTGTTGCTTGTCAGGGACTTTCAGCAACAGGGATCAGTTTTGTTTTAGAGCCACAAGAACTTCAGCAGTGCAGACAACTCTCCGCCTGAAGACCCTGTACTTTAAAACAGGTTTCAACTACTACCCATTTTTCTTTGCTGGAAAATGATCACACAGCCATATAATGGTTTCTGACCCTGGAGGCAGACAACTCATTCCCTGTAAACCATTTACATTACTGGGGCCACATCTTTAAAAGGGCATTTTGACAGACTGGATTTCATCATGGCTAATAACTGTCTAGTCCAAGCGTCTTGCAAATGCAAAGAATAC